GCAGAAGTTTGTTCACTAGAGCTTAAAGGCCGAAGTGACATGGTATTTCATTCTCCATCAAACAAGTGAACAAAAAATAAATTCTTAATCATGTGATGAGGGAATAAGCCATGAAAATAATCTTAAAAGTTATGATGACTCAAGTTTAAACACACGCAGAGGAAAAGACTGTTCTTTTATAATGAGCTTTAAAAGATTAACAATTTTCTTCGTTCTTCCATTTGCATCTTCATAAAGGATACTGTACTACAGCATGTAAGAGTTTTCCATATAGAAAGAAATTTTGTGTGTGGGTGTGGGTGTTGGCTCTCACAGCTGTAATAATGATTGCAATTTATCTATTTTTCCTAAGCAAAGTCCAAACTTCACTAAATGTAAAACAGATGTCATGGATTTCTTTCATAAAATGTTGGCAGTAACACATTTCAATTTCAACTAAAGTAGTAAAGAAACACAAACAACTCCAAATGTCTCCTCTCAAGTATAAAACAAACATAAAGAGAAATTTAGGTTAAAAATTTAAAAATTTTATTCTAACAATAAATTTCTGGGACTATTACATATAAAATTAGGTGACCATCAGAAATTAATTCACAAAAATATTAACAGTCATTCTCATACATTACTGGTGAGAATACAAAATAATATGATTGTTCTGGAAAACAGTTTGGCAGTTTATTATGAATTTAAACATACTCATATATGACTCAGCAATTCCACTTCTGGTTATTTACCTTAGAGAAAAGAAAACTTGTATTCACACAAAAATCTCTAGTGAATGTTCACAACAGCATATACATGTATGTTTGTGTGTATAATATACATATTTATAGCATATGAATGTTTGTAAAGGCATGAATGTATGTGCACGTATATATATACATACACATAAAAATAATATCTTTACATTATATATATTATACACTATAATATGCTACATAAATGTGTATATTACTATAATAAGCTATATTCACCAAAAACTGAAAATAACCCAAATGTTCTTCAATGGGTAATTGAATAAAACTCTAGTACATCCATACAAGGGAATATGAAAATAAAAAGAAATAAAACGCATTACAAGTAAGACCAACAACTCCTTAAATGGGCCCACGGGCAGCCAGTACTTCAACAGAGGAAAGAGTCTGTGAAGTTGCAGATAGGTTAATAGAAATTATCCAAACTGAAACACACACACAAAAAGGCATGAAAGGAATAGAACAGAGCATCCAAATGCTAGGACAATATGTCAGATAGCCTAGCATATATGTCATTAGAGTGATACAAGGCAAAATAAATACTTTAAAAGATATGGTTGATAATTTTCACACAAATATACCCTAAACATAGCACAAACTACAGAAAAGCAAAATGAAGAGAAAGATTTAAGGCTGCCCCAAGCACACACACAAGACACACTAATACAGAAAAATAAAGATAACAATCATAGCAGACTTTTTGTCACAACCTATGCAATCCAGATCATGAAAGAATATGTTTAAAGATACATATTTTTTAAAAACCTATCTACTCAGAATTCTATGGCCAGCAAAAATATCTTTCAAAAAATGAAGGCAAAATTAAGACTTTTCTAGAGAAAGAAAAGCTGATAGATATTATGGCCAACAGACGAGCATAGTAAGAAATTTTAAAGGGCCAGGTGTGGTGGCTCATGCCTGTAAACCCAGAACTCTGGGAGGCCGAGGCGGGTGGATCACCTGAGGTCAGGAGTTCGAGACCAGCCTGAGCAGCATGGTGAAATCCTGTCTACTGAAAACACAAAATTAGCCGGGCATGGTGGTGCACACCTGCAGTCCCAGCTACTTGGGAGGCTGAGGCAGGAGAATCCTTGAACGCCAGAGGCAAGGTTGCAGTGAGC